TTTTCCAGCTGAAGTTTATGAAAGTGGGAAAAATGCTGGTCACTGACTACCAGTCTGACGAGAAAAGTTACGACTGCTTGTTCAATGACTCGCTTATTTTGATAGCAAATAATCAACTTGGTGATGCACTCAAGTTATTGGATTTGGCGCAATCAGTTTGCACTACTCAGAACCAAGACCTAGATGCCGGTGATCTTTTGCTTGAGTTGGCCCCTATAAAATTGACCATTGCATACATATATCAAGTTCAAGGGCGGATAAGCGAGGCAAAGGCATTGTTGGACGAATTCAGGAATAATGAAACAGTTGACCATATGACCAAGCTTGTTACCACCAACAACTATTATGCCCTCGAAGGAATCCCCGATTCAAAGCTGAGTATTGCCTTGAGAGATCTCGATTACCAGGCTAGAATGCATAAATTACAGCAAAAATTAACCAAACCACAACTGAATGTGCTCATGAAGAACAAATTGTTGCTCCAATTCCACGCTCATGCCTTGTCGAAGTCGTCCAAATATTTCACCAAGGCGTTCACGAGCGAGTACCAAAAACTCTACCCTGGCGACTACACTTTCAATGTCTATAAAGTACTCAATCAACTCGATATAACCATCTCTGACGTGAACGATGGAAATGCCGAGCAATGCGCCAGAAAATTGTACCAGCACGCAAAGACAGACCTCTCCGAACCTGAGAGAATCTCCACTACCCTTCTCTTGGTAGCCGTCAACAACATTATGGGTCGCTACGATCAATGTCTCAGTGTGCTTGAAAAAATATGGGACTCAAGAACGTCCGAAACATTAATCCCTGCTCTTGCTGGTACGTTATTTGGGTTATTGAACGAACTCAACTACCATCAAGATGATCAACGTGATCTGTTATCGAAAACAAAGGCCAAACAAACCAGCTTCATTGTGGCTCTCATAAAATATTTCCAAGACCATGGGGTATCCAAGTGCTACAATTTTGCAAGAGAAATTGCATTTAGGTTGTACCAAAATGGCGATGAGAAGGCAGAGGATGTTTTAAGAGTTTTGCAGAAAGAAGACCCTCAGGATAGACTTGTTGCAGCTGCTCTTGACGGCGATAATAGTAAGCTTGACAAGGTTGAAACCTTGCAAAGTTCCACCGACATAAACGAGCTTTTATCCACTTCAATTGCATCGATGATTCCCGCGCCACCTGCGACATCGACCAAACGAACGTTCAAGCCATCTATTCTGAAGGTTCACAAGAATAAACGCAAGCCTCGGTTCTCGGCGAAGAAAGAATTTGTCGCGGCTGAAAAATTTAATGCGGCAGATTTGGATGAAGAGAGGTGGTTGCCTATGAGATTACGGTCATACTACAAGCCCACAAAGAAAGATAGAAAGAAGGGAGGCCAGCAAGGAGCGTTGGAACAACCAAAGGATAAGAAGAAGAAAAAGTCGAAAAAGTAGATAACACAATTAATTTGCAGCCGCACGGCTGATGCGCATATGATGTAGAAAGACAAGATAAATTTGTATTTGGTATGAATTTCTCGAACGAGAAAACTTCAGCTTATTCCAAAGCTGTTTGTTTTCTCGTTCCTCGAGTTTCATCACCTTTTTATAGCTGCATCGATGTCTATCGTCCTAATACCCGGCCGGAAACCGGTCCCCGCACCGGGATTGGATAACCGTGCTGACATAACCATGGAACTGGAGTATAAGTAGTTGGATCAGATCTTTATCACAACACAAAACATGAGTGTTTCTGCAGCCTTGAAAACTCGTAGCACTCTCTTTTACGGTGCTAGGGTTCCCCAAACGATTTCTAGGGCATGTCTTGTCCGGGCAGCCAGATTTTTCACCCTCAGTACCACCACTGAAAATTACCCCACAAACCATGTTGCCGATGGTACCAAACCTTACATTACACCCTCATTTGTGAACAACGAGTTTGTTAAGTCCAGCTCCGATACGTGGTTCGATATCCATGATCCAGCTACAAACCAAGTAGTTCTGCAGGTTCCTCAATCTACCCCTGAAGAGTTGGAGCAGGCAGTGGCTTCTGCAGAAGAAGCTTTCCATGTGTGGAAAGAGTATTCAATTATTCGTCGTCAAGGTATTGCCTTCAAGTTTGTGCAGTTGCTTCGGGAAAATATGGATAGAATTGCTGGAATAATTGTGTTGGAACAAGGTAAGACGTTTGCTGATGCCAAGGGAGATGTGTTGAGAGGTCTTCAAGTTGCAGAAGCTGCATGTAACGTTACCAACGATATGATGTCCAGCGGGCTTGAGGTGGCTACCGATATGGAGACAAAAATGATCAGAGAACCACTTGGAGTTATTGGTTCGATCTGTCCTTTCAACTTTCCAGCTATGGTTCCTCTTTGGTCTTTGCCATTGGTGTTGGTTACAGGTAATACAGCTGTTATCAAGCCGTCCGAGCGGGTTCCTGGAGCCTCTATGATCATCGCTGAACTCGCAAAGAAGGCAGGAGTTCCTTCTGGAGTGGTCAACATTGTCCATGGAAAACACGATACAGTGAACAAAATTGTTGAGGATCCAAGAATTAAAGCCATTACTTTTGTTGGAGGCGACAAGGCAGGTGCCTACATTCACAAGCGTGGAAGTGAGTTGGGAAAAAGAGTACAAGCCAATTTGGGTGCAAAAAACCATTTGGTGGTGCTTCCAGATGCCAACAAGTCTCAGTTCATCAATGCTGTCAATGGTGCTGCCTTTGGTGCTGCCGGACAGCGGTGTATGGGCTATCAGTGTGCTAGTAACTGTTGGGCCAGAAACCCAAGGCATGGGTAGAAGATATTGTTCATGATGGTGCGCAACTCCAAGGTGGGGTCTGGATTCGACCCCAGTTCGGATTTGGGTCCGCTTTGTCAACCCCTACAGCCTTGACTCGTGCGATTGAGATCATCGACGACT